AGACCGATAGAGAAGACCAATAAAAAGAAGGGAAAAATTTTTTAAAATTTTATTCTGTATACATTAAGTGTATTTTATATTTTATAAAGTTTAAATAAAGTAAGAAAGAAAACTTAAATTTTTTATTTATTATTTCATTGCTTCCTGTAATAAGTAATTTAGAATAGGCTGTTTAATATAATTTAATCAGTTTTATTGATTATAATTTCTAATAATAAATACCGATAGAGTATAAAAGGCGTTTTTAAAAATTTCCAATTCATGATTTTGAGCTTTCAAATATCCATTGCTGGATTACTCACTAGATACTTGAGGAACAAGTCAAGGGGCTCCGAAGTTGGAAAAAATAAAACAATTTTGCCGTTGCAATTGTATACCATAATTTAAAAATAGTTTTATAACTACAATTGGACATTATTAGTTTAAGATGGCGTAAAATTATATAGATGCCCCCTAATCTTTTGCGTCTAGGGATTTCGGAAGGTCTTAATTCACCACTACATATATCTTTCAATTTTTTTTGTCTCTTTTTCATTTTCTAAGTACTCTAATGGATACATTGTTAACTGGCTTATTGTCAAAACTGAAGCCATAGTCAAGGCTTTATTAATCGAAATGTCACAAAATAGGAAAAGCTTAAGTAAATATTAAAGTGTATATATATATGAATGAATTTAATATGAATAATTTCACACACGTGAAGACCTTTATGTTTCTTCCAATTGTCCTTAACACCACAGGAATAAGAATGTCACAAGGTTAAGGTCGACGTTTATTTTGAGACATTTTTCGCCTCAAAATAAAGATTTTTGTAACTTTATAAAGACTTTTATGTTTCTTCTACTTTTAAAAAGAATTACAAGATTTTGATTTTAAAAAATAAACTTATTATATATATTACATACAAATATCAGTTTGAAAATCAATCTCTGACAGTAGTTTATAACAAAAGGAAATATAATGAATGTGAATAATGAAGTAAATTGTCTCTCAACGAATTTTTTATATTTCAATTTTATATTTCATGATTATATAAACAAATTCTACTAAAAATAATGTATATTATGAATTTTGCCTGACAGAGTTTTGATACAGAAAACGCATTTTACCGTAACTTAGAAGGAATTATAATAGGCCTTTAATTACAAAACCCGATGATTATTAAACGCCAGCACAGTGCATTAATTACGGAAAAGTGGGTTACAATACATAATAATTAACAATTCATGAAGATTCAATAACTTCCGATTTAACAATACGGGGTATTTAGAAGTAGCCTAATTCATACAAGTTGTTAGGACCAAGTTCATCCTTTATTGTTCTCCATTAATGCTATGTTTAAAGCATCCAAAGCGGTCGAGGGTTTGAAATTTCGGATAACAATGCTCCGGATAATTGTCTAATAAAAGGAAGTATGGAGTTTAGCCACCGACTTAATAACCAACGTGTTTCTTGACTGTAAACACAAATATGTCGATATTAAATCGTCAAAGTTTATATTGGGTTATAGAGTTTGATGTAAACAAATATATGAAAAGGTCGTTATGAATATTTAAATGAAAATATTCTGGAGATAAATATAAGTGCCAACTCGATAAAGTATGTGGAAGAAAAACAAGCGTTGATCGAAGTAGAGCGAAACGGCTACTCTCTCCTCTCTCTCTCTTCCCTCCATCACACCTCATATCACAATGTCGTATTTCACCTTGATCCCAGAGTTGGGTTAAACCCCGCGTCATATCGGTAGAGATGACTCAGGAAGTGATATTTTTCCGTCCGTCAATAGCCAGTCGAAGTTTTATACCGGAAGTAATTTCCTTCTAGTGAACTCCGCATCCGGTCTACAGATACACCTCACGTGACAGATCGAAGTGAGGAAGGTTTTATAGAACTATAATCCCCAGTCGATACAGAAGAGAAACAGAAAAGTCGAAATCGTTCCAATAATAAGGAGGAATGGAGAGGTCTTTTTATATATATCTTCCCAGAGCTAGTTGAATATGCAGCCTTTCCAATTTAACTTCTGGTGTGATAGGATAAGAAATATGAGAGCAACATAGCAAAAATAACTGGTTATTTTATTATGAAAAGGGTCATTTCAAAAGACAGATGATGGATTTTCCTCAAAAAATCATTATTTACATAGAAAATTTTTTTGTCATATTCATACGTAATTTCCATTCTTTTAAAGAGGAACGTTTAAATTAAATTTTATTCGTGTCGATATTTTTAAAACCAAATTTATCATCCTCGAAACTTTCTATGAATTTTTAATATGATAAAAAAAGGGAATGGATTTATTCAATATGGAGTAAACGAAGCCGTAAAATGTGATCAATATTTTGAGCCGAGTTTCGTTTTGTGTATGTAACCTATATAAAAGATAACGAAGATTTATTATGCAAATATTAACAGCTTTAAATGAATAGATTTTAAAATCGATGCTGGAAAATTACATTTATTTTAATAGGTTCCTCGTATATTAAAAATATAAATTGTGCATAAATTTTTAAATACCTCTATTCCTTAGTAAATGTTTTAAATTTATTTATTTATTATAACCAGTAAAAATAACTGCGAATAAATGTAATTTANTAAGGTTGCTTTTATTGCATGTAATGATGTATTGTATTTTAAAATCAATTTTCATTTAAAATATCTGTTTTTTTTATATTAAAACTGAAATAATTTCGCTTGTGTATCGTAATAATTATTTTCTTAAATTTAATTTCAATTTTCTTACATCGAATTATGTAAAATAAGAAAATTATCGTTTAAAAAATTTCTTACTTTTCAATGAATTCTAATTACATTTTGTTATTCGTAGTTGAAAACATTATAAACTATCAATAAATTGGTCGAATGTTACGACTGGATATGTCGTTGCGCGTTATTCTCTTTAGCTTTGATCGTTTATATTGTAGGAAGAGTAACTGACGATAGTTTACTCTTAATGGACGATGCCATTTACAAACTTGTCACTCGTTATAATTTGCAACATAAATTCTACTATTTATTGTTTAATTTATATCACGATACATAGATCAATGGTTTAGAAAGTTTCGACGATTATTTAGAGAATTTCAAAGGCTACTTTAACATTTCTAAATAGCTTTTTAATTAATTAAAATTCAACGAGCAATTTGCGTTATTATTTAAATGATTGCCGAAAATGATTTATGGACAAGTAAAAGGGGAGGGGAAAAAGAAAAAATAATAAAAAAAAAAACAAGTGCAACACGAAATGAGAAATAGCTTATGAAAAGTGACACAAATTTAGTCTTTAATTAGAATTTAAAATTATTCTTCGGAACAAAAAATCTTAATGTTACTCATTATATTTTAATTCATGTTTGCATCATCGAGCGATAAATTGCCGTTTCGTTCGGTTCAAACGAGCGTATCTCGATTTAAACATGATTCATCACTCATCGAAGAAGTTTACAAGTCGTGAGAAATATTTATCAATATGACAGACAGAAATAAGATTAAGAAAACAAGGAAAAACGACGACAATCTTCCCAACATAAGACAATATCAGTTTAGCCCCGAGCATCACGCATCGTAATTAGTACTTGTTTAAACTAGATGGACAGAGAGAAAGAGAGAGAGTAATCAAACCAATAATTACATAAAAAAATATTAAGCAGACAATCTAATGAGAAAAAAAAAATAAGAAGTGGAAGAATGATAGAAAGAAAGGCTTTACATCTAATCATATTTGGCGATAATACAAGACGGCATTAGAAGGAGATTACCTTTTGGATTTCGTTGTACTTCATTGCCGGAGGGAGATGAAATGATGAATACACCTTTCGATATTCTAGAGAAAAAAAAAATTGGTCATTACGTCTTTAACAAATGAAACAATTGTTCGGAGTAAAATTGAAAAAAAAAAAAAAGAAAAAACTTTTAATACGAGAATGACGTATGCCAGATGAAATTTCTTATTGCTACAAGAACAATTTTAAAATTGCTAAAATTATTTTCGGAACCTTTTGATGGATGTATTATAAAATATAACACAGCTTCGGATTTTTTTCCTTTCTTTTTCTTTTTTTAATAGAAGAATGTTGAATTGGATAGAATTTTTTTTTATTATCAAGAGTCATTTATAGTTAAAAAGATTTGTATTAAAATTTTAACACTTTTGATCTTATTATGGTAGAAAAATTAGCTGATTTTTATATACTTTTATCCATTAACTTTTCATTGTTTAGAATATTGATCATCGTCATTTTTAAATCTTGTTATTATACCTTAGAGGCAAACAAAGAAATTTTAAAATCTCAGGTATTCGATATTCTAAAGCAATCCTTCATTAGGAGTTGGAAATAAGGTGTTAATGAAATTATTTAATTATTAAAAAATTTTCTTCATTTGTGTATGGGTTTAAAAACCGTTTCGCTTCAAAGAGAAAAGAAGTATTGTAATTACGAAAACTAATCAAATTACGTTCATGTTTTATTCTATTACTTGATAGTTCACTTAACACACATTACGGTTGCCATATTTTTCGTAATTGTTGCTGACGTGTAAAGGTAAAAAAAGAGGAAAAAAAAACCAAGTTTTTTTTAGTCTCGAGCGTGCTATACTGGTTTTCTTATCGTTCATTATGTCTTTAAATTATTTACAGGATAATAAAGAATATGTGAGTATTTATAAGTGTTTCACAGGGAGAGTTACGCGTTTACAAACAAGTTTTTTTTTGTTTTTTTCGTTATCTTTGAAGAAGTATTGACTCAATTAAATTCTTATCAAAGGTGTTTTGTAAAGCGAAATGATCTTAATCAGTAATTAAAACAAATATCAAATGAATTATACACATTTTACTCCATTAAATACAGTCCTATTCGTTGTGTAAAATGTTTGTTTATATAAATTTAAAGACCAATACGTAATACACTTTTCATGTTTATAAATGTAATAAATTTAATTTTTTTTAAAAATATTTAATTCCCGATATTTATGCAACGTTATTTTTCTTCTGTCTTTTTTAGGAAATATCACCGAAAAGAAAATCGTTACGTAAGCCGAAGCCAAAGTTATGGTCGTGATTCGTATAAAATCAGGCCTTGTAATGTGAGATCGCCTTTTCCGGATTTTCCGTATCATCCGTTTTCACATTATAGTAGTACCGAATCGTTAACCAGCTGTTGGTCCAATTGCACAACTTTAGAAGAAGATCAACTCGTATATCCTGCTCGTTCGGTTCCTGACCTCGATCAAGTCGGAGACATGGTGACAAGAAAATTCAAAAAGGGTTCGGTTTACGAAACGCTGGCCACCAAGAGCGGGCTAGATTTTGCTCCAGTAATTCAAGGTCGGCCATACTGGGAAAGAAGAGAGCAGCACACCGAGGAGTTTGCCCATAACCGAAAGTTAATAAATAACAAATGTGACGTAAACATACGGCACGAGACGGAAAAAATAACAAAGAAAGTGTCTTCCGGTATCCATTGTAAGTATCAGAAAGACGAAGAAAAGCAAATATCACCTCCACCTCCACCAGTTCGAAATTCATCCAGTCTCAAGTACATCCGACACCAACCCCAAACGCACGAAAAGTATCCGTCTTGGCCAGCTGTTCCCACATCCGAGTCGGATTCTTCCAATTCCGCATTATCGTCTTCAAAATCATCTCCAGCTGCTACGAGTCACCGTTCTAATTCTTGGACGGAACAAACTAATTATCCCAAGGAAAGGATAGCTTACTGTCGACCTAAAAAATGTTATAAGATATCTCCAAATCAATTACAGCCCGTATTGGAAAGATCGGTTCTGGAAAACGGCAATCGACAACAAAAACACGAAGTAGGTAATTTAGAAAATTCCCTGAAAGAGGCTCTACACTCTGATCCCATAGATTTGGATAGCTTATGTAGATCATATTACCCACGCCAGACATTAACTGTTTCTCGTGATTACAATATCCATTCTCCTCCGGAACGTGATGTGCCAAGACCAACCGTTCACGATAGAACTCGTAAACACCCGGAAAACAATCAATCGTGTTACTGGAATAATGGACCCGATAGTTGCACCCCTCTTCTGGATAGATTGAGACTGGAGAGTGAAGTAATGCCTTCTAACTGGTCACCTCAAGTAGAATTGGAAACACCCAGCGAAACGGGAAACGAGAGCGTGGACGGCAGTAACAGCAGCCAGGAAACATTAAAATGGCACGGTTCTTGCAGCGATCTTAGTTGTTCCAATAAATCATCCATTTTTGATAGTGGCCGATCTACTCTTCCAGACAGATTATCTCCTCAGTCATGCGATAGCAGCACATCACAGATCGTTCACAGTTCACGAGTGGAGCCCGCTCAGAGGCACGATTCCGAAAGTGTACTTTATTACTTATCACCCGTAAGAAGTAACAAAAACGACGACAGAAAGAACTTTTCCACTTCCTTCCCAGGATTTTCTAGAAACGGATGCGACTCTAATTACTATTCCACTCCAGATAACATCAGCAAACTAAAAGTTTCCGAGCGATCTTGCGACATCAATAGATTGAAACACGAAAATGAATGCGAAACGAAGCATCAGAAGTATCAATATTTGGATCCGGAAAAGAGACATCGCATATCCGATCCGGAATTAAAAGCCATTCAGAAACAAGCAGTTTTGTCTTTCTATCACAGACAAACAGCTGCACAAACAAACACATCGAACGGAGGAGACATGCCCGTTCCCCACGAATCTCCTCCAATTTCACCAGGAAGAATGAAATGGAATCAGTGGGGAGATAATAAACTGGATAAAGTACCCGAACATGCAGTTTTGGCCACGGATCCACTCTCGAGAACAACCATTAGAGGTAATAAGACTCCAGAAGAATTCAGAAATTTGGAGAATCAATTAAGTTTATCCGTTCCAAACTTGAACGAAGTAGCTCTTCCTCATCATCAAATATCTAGTCAACAAACTACGGGGATTAGAAGTCAATCTTTTATGGATGAACCTATCGTAAGTAATTTTTTACTCGTTTTATTCGTTTTTTTTTTTGTTGAATGTGTATAGCCATATCTACTTCATAATATATAATATATATAGATGAGATTTCATTTTAACATTATCAATATGGTTGTAAAATATCTATCACTAGAGACTATCGATTTTATTTGATGTATGTTATTGTTTGATTCATTCCAAATCCCACTATTTTTATAAAAGACTTGCCATTTATTTTCTCTTCTATCGATTTATTATAGTCCAGAGCATTTACTATAAACTATTATTTGTGAAGAATGTAAGTTTAAATTTTCACGCGAAAACAGGGGAAATCGTGAAAGAATACTTCATTTTTTCTTCTATTTTTTATTGTATTATTCTAAAGATCACGACTCTGGTATTGTCTGTAAATTTTATATACTGTGTTAAGAGAAAATTTGTATTGTTAAATATCAATTAAATCAACCTAAATCTAACTCTTTATAAGTCGAAAAAGAGAAGTGTAATGTATAAAAAACGAGGGGAGTAGTTTATTTGGTAAGATTAGTCAAATCTTATTTCACTATCCATTCAAATAGAGTTAAAGGTTTGGTTATTTCGAGTCAGAGAATATTTCGAGTGACATGTTTACAACCAACCGTTCGACCATTTTGTCTGCTTGCTACACAAAAATTATCGTCTGCAACCTGTTTCTCCAACAATAATAAAGAAAAATGTCTTCCTCCGTCGTCTTACAGCTACTCTTTTCCGTTCTCGTACTAGACATTTATTGCCATCTCTGCCCACTTCTTGTTTATCCTCCTGCTCCGGCATTAATATCTGTTAGTTTCCGTAACGTCATAGCAACGCTCTGACACCAGTCGTATTAAGAGAAGAGATGGGTTGATTGGGACTCTTGGCAGCTGACAATCTTGCTTCCACGTCTTTAGCTTGTAAAGGAATTCGATGGTTCAATATTTTCTCATATATTCGAAATAGCTTTACCTAAGAAAAGCTCGTTGGCCCCGGGATTATATTGAATGATAATTGATAAGTCGGGTTGTCATTATAACGGATTGTTGCGGTAATCGATAAAAAGAGGGAGATTTAACTCGAATTGGATGTTTTTGCACCTTTTCCCGCCAAAGGGAACGGTTTGTTGGCCAATGGTAATAAAAGAGGTTACACTCGTAACAGCTTTCTCCAACTCATCTAACTTTGGCCGCCGTTTGCTCCGGGCTATTCCTGCTTAATTTCTCTAGTGTGCCTGGCTAAGCACACATTCTGTTTTCGCCAACCACAATATCCCTTCGCTTCGAAATTTGCTGGCTTTTATCTCCCGACATGTAACACTTTAATTAAAACGATCATAAATAAAGATAAATTATTAAGATTATCTTTTGTAAGAGAAAAGTTTGGCGTATCCTTCCTGTGAAACGGTACAGCAGAAAGTACTCTTCATCCAATTGAGAGCTTTCCGTCAGATTCCGAAGTCAATTGGGACTTAAGAAAGTGACAAGAAGACTGACTTCACCGCACGGCAGCTGTGCATCTCGACCAGAAGCCAAATTGCCAGGGGCCGAGATCTGTCAGCCTGGTATAGAGACTTGGAGTGAGAAGTAATGAGCTGTCGTAGCGTTTGACGGTAAACTCTTCTGCTTCTAGATTGTTAGAGCCTTCTTTTTTATTGTCATTTGTTTGCAGAAATCACGTTATAGTGCGGCGTCTGGCAAAACTGGATTTCCGAAATCGCCCGCTTTACAGTCTTTGCTAAGGTATTAGTAATGGCAGATTCCTGTTTTATAAATCGACGAGGATTTTGCTTGACAGAATTCCAAAACGGAATTTCTTTTTTCTTTCTTTCTTCTTCTTCTGTCAATTAAGTTCGCAGCGGGCGTTGGTTTATACGAAACAATATGTTTATAGTTTTTTTTTCAATTTTTGTCACAATTGTCAATTAAAGTCTTGTTTCTTTAAAAAACAGAAAAAGATTTATTGTAAATCTAAAAGAATTACTGTATTTTAATAGTAAAAACATTTTGTATAGTTAAATAGCGAATTAGATATTTAATTATTAACTAAGTATTAATCATCAGTAATAGCAGATCAGGTGTTTAAATGGTGCGGTTCACAGATGACCTTTTGCAAGTCCTCTTGGCAAAAAAAAGTAATAATTTTCTAATATTTCAAACAAAAGTTCGAAATATTTGAATATGCAAGTCATGTGTTTATATATAATAAACAATTCACGGGAACATATAAATAATTTTTGCATGAGGTGGCCTAAGAGACACACGTTACTGGTATTAGTAACAGCCATTGTGTAGTTCAGATTTCAACGAGTGATCTTCTAACTAATTCATTCGCCGAATATTTATATTTAAGGATAAGTGGAGTGGAAAATTAATATAAATAACTCCAAAACAATAAAGAATTGAAGATAGTTTTGATGAGATAAAAATAGTTTTTTTTCTCATATTTAAAAAAATTCATTTTAAAAATTACGCGATAAGATTAATTGTTAAGATCAAGGTTATAATTTAGTAAGATCATTTATATGATTTTGTTTATAAAGANATTGTGCATAAATTTTTAAATACCTCTATTCCTTAGTAAATGTTTTAAATTTATTTATTTATTATAACCAGTAAAAATAACTGCGAATAAATGTAATTTATAATGTTTCTCAAAATTATTTCAAATTGTTATCTTTGTTATTTAAGCATAAACTTTAATAAGGTAGAGATTTGAAAGAAAAAAAATTGCGAATTTAATCTATTTTATCATAAATTAAATTTATATTCTAAGAAAAGCATTTTTTAAAAATTGATATTGCTAAAAGCAAGCATAAAAGGTTTCTTGTAGTTCGATATTAGATTTAGGATAAGATTAAATAATATATCTTAGAAATTAATCCAGATGATGAATAGAAGCAAGTCCTATCCTTAGCTTTACATTTGTGTGTAGAAGGTTTTCATTCTACATCATGTTGTAAACTACAAACCTTCTATAGATTCAAGTTCGTTATGGTTGGATAATCCTCTTTCAGGCTTTGTCTGATTGGAGAAATAGAGGGATAGAAGCCTCTTAGATTGGTATAATCCCTCTAATAAGTCAAGGTATTTTTTCCTTATCTCTTCCATACTAATGGCAAATACGACAAACCTCTCATTAAATTCTTGTTCTTTTCTTATCCTAGTAATCCATATCCGTACTTAGTTATATCTCGAATACTTAGAACTTAAATCTATAGTAATCGATCGATATTTATTACGTGGATCTATAATTATAATCGAAATTTTAAACGTTATAATTTAATGATGGTAATTTAATACAAAGTTATTCCTCAAATTTTGCTATTATTTTCAAACAAAAGCATCCATTAATGACTCGAGGAATCAAATCAAGTTTATTCAATAGCTATAATTCTGATTAATGATACCAATTCTGAATATAAGTTATATATCTCTGGAGTGCATCCATTAGTCTAGATCAACATGTAATCTGATGATGATAAAGGATGCCGTATTCCGGCCGACGTAGCCAAACCGAATGTCAGAAAGATTCCATGCTAGAAGTGGACGTCATTGAATAGTTGTATGGGATTTATGTAACCGGTTGTTATCTGATATTGATTTTAGCATACGAGAAATGATCTGGACGATATCCAGATGACAAAACCTCTTATTTTTCTCAACATTTTTCATTTCGGGCGACATCCTTTCACAAAAACTTCACTTTAAAAGGATAAGCTAATAAATTATGGTGATTCGACATATTACATCTCGACGCCCAGTATTAAAATTTTGCATTATATAAAGCTTAATTTAAAAAATTAACACGTTTTATCCATTATAGAGGATTTTTAATATTCAAATTGCGCCATGTCTTTCGAAAAAAGAAATACAAAAGATAATTATAATATCCATTAAAGAAAGTTAAATAAGTTTTTAATCGTGTTTTTAGCTTATTATTCTTTAATATCTTCCAGAATAAATTAAACTATCTCCATTCTGTAGAGGAGAATAATACTGCAAAACCACTGGTCGTTAGCTGGAAATGGGCGTTCACACACAACACAAACATCTTTATTTTGGTAATGAACTGAAATTTTAATCACATTTGATTCCTCTTATTAATTCACTACGACAATTGCTGTATTATCAATTTTATATAAAAATCAATTTTAAAAATTTTATCTCGTGTTTATCTAACGCTTTCTTATTTAATTTTCTTCGTCTTTATGTCAACGGTTAATTAAACTCAACAATTTATAAGTATGATAAATACGTTACATAATTCGGATTAACAAAATATCGATCAATTTAGTCGACTTGATATAGTTACACGTCAAGTAATTATATCTCTCGACGTAGTACAAACTGGATAATTTTTGTTTCAGATCCCCGGTTATTGTTTGAGTAAGATTAGAGTTTCTATCTGCAACTTCATCTCTTTTCAAAGTTCAAATTAATTAGGAGAAGATAGATTAGAGAAATTTTCAACAACCTGTTTTTAAATTGACAGAGTTTGTTGCCAACAACTTTTCATGTACTTTCAGGTTATTCAACTTCATAAGTTATCTTGTTTCTGTAAGCGTAAAAAATAATTAATAATATCTAAATTGGGTTAGTTTTTCTCTTCTTTTCACGATTTTGGAAAAAAAATCCTATTTAAATAATCTATTTGCGGGAAAAATTATACTAATTATTCCATAGCTGTAACAGAATCTGGTAGAGATTATATTTTATTTTTCATTAAAAAAAAGGTATGTATTAAAAAAATATAAGGGAGAAGAAAGTCAAAAAGCAACTATGATAAAATTAAGCATAAACTTTTCTTCCGCTTAACAAATTAAATGGCATCATTAAAACT